CATGGGTTGAGGAGAACTGCTTTTACTTCTACTGAATTTGCAGAATTTCAGACCACCATTGTCAAGTTTCCCCATTTCTGAGCAAGAAGATCCAGGAATTACCTTTTTTTTTTAAAAAAAAAAGCCAAGATGTCTCTCTGCAAGTTTGGCACATAGGATTTAACAAAGCTGGATCACAAGTCTAGAGAGGGAATTCATTTTGATTGCAAGGAATGTTTTCTTTCTCCATATTTCCCTCCTCCTAAAAAAAATCCCAACTATAACTATAACGGGGCCTTCAATTAAAATGAAAAAGATGCTGGTGTGTTCCATTGAAAAGAACAGGAGCCCACTGGGAAGAATTTAAAAAGATCCATGTTGTCTCTCTCAGCAGCTAACCTGACAACCAGAAGCCCAGAAACTGATATTTAGACCTGACTTTTCTTACCAACACTAATAATCAGAGGTAGGTTGTCCCCAGGGATTTCCCAGCTGGCATGGCTAAACTCCTTCAAGTCTTCCTGCCTGACACTCTTGTACTTTGGTTGCACAACCAAGGTTTGTCCTGGGTGCTAGAATGGCAGGGAAAATGGTCTATTCCCACCCACCCCCGGCTACTCACACTGTTAGCATTGAAAACCCAGGAAGTCTTTCGTGGTTCAGGTTCTTACAAATGCACTCTCAGGAACTGAAAAAGCTCCATTTCCCCCCTTCTAAAGACTATCAAGCCAATCTCCTGTTGCAATGATTCAGGAATGTGCTTTTTTCCAAATAGCAACCTGAGTGGCTGCTTCGTGTCCACAAAAAGCTTGCGAGATAAGGAAAAAGCAGGGTCTGTTCTCCTGCCTATAACATACAGGGTTTTAATATGCAGGGGTGATTTTTATTTTTTTTGGCACAAGAGGACATTTAGTCATGTAGCCCCACAACCCACAAGGGTAAATCAAAAATATGTCTCTTACGTTGTGAGGATCCTTGGATAAGATGAATTTAGCTGGCCTCCCCAGGTAGAATTTAGAAGGCTCCTTTCTGCTATGCTGACCACCCAGATGGAAAATACCTGCTGCCCATTTCCAGATGAGAGTCCAATAATGCTTGCTTATTCTTACTGCTGACCCTGATGCATAGATTAGCTCCTTCTCCAATCTAATACTTTCCAGATGGGTTGGAACTGCAACTCCCAGAGTTCCTTTGTTCGCCTGGCCTCCAGACCACTGGCTAAGAATTCTGGGAGTCGCACAGTTCTGGAGGCCACGTTGCCTGAGGAGTTCTGGGAGTTGTAGTGAAAACAAATCTGCCTGGCGCTAGTCTGAGGAAGGCTGGGAGTGCACATCCCATGGCTCTATCCTGAACCTGGAAAGAGTTGGCTAGATTTCCAAGCAATGCACAAAGATCTCCCTTTAGAAGGCTGACTTAGTTGTTTCCTCCTCTTTCTGTCCTTCTAGAAATCCAGACTGCCTTTTCGAGGGCCTGACAGCACATGGGTGTATGCATGTGCACACACACATTAAATCTTGCAACGAAACCTTCACAGGCATTTGGATCTCCAGAATAGGCAAGCAGTTTAAACGGGGTGGTAATTTAGAACAGAGAAGGGATAAGAGGAGACGGTTTCAGCTCTAACTTATAGCTTCTCTCTGGGGCAAACTGCCTGCTTAGAAAATAGTTTTTTTCTCACACACAAAAATAGCAGCCTTGGATTTTATGTATTTCTGCCAAACATGGTTGGAAGAGAAGGAAGGAAGAAGCTAAGGTGTGCACACAGTGAAACATACACACAGCACACATGGGGCATTGACAGAGCTACATTCACATAACAGATTTCGCCTGGTTACCGGATTGAGCCGTGTGTGTGCGTATTTGCACAATATATCAACTTCAAATGAATCAAAGAGGCTGGGTTTGCATAACATGCTAAGCTAGATTAAAAGAAAAAGAAAAGCCTAACCAAAGTTAAGAGAAGCAATAAGCTCAGTATGTTGTGCAACTGCAATCTTCAGCCAACTGGGCAAAACATGTTGTGTGAATGTAGTCAGACACTGGATCCAGGGAGCACAGAAACCAAACATCTGCATAGATCCCTCGGCCTTGCAACGTCCACGGAAAGGCTAAGCACATGCTAAGCACACGCATAGACCCCCGTGGCCTGTTTGCAGAACGACAAAGTGGGACTCAAGAATCCAAGTATGCAAGTTCACATATAAACCCAAGGCACCACTTTATAGGACAAAAGTTTTAAAGAGGATCCATAGGGGTATATTTGAGGGTGGGGGGGGTAGGGTAGCAGCCCCCACCTTAATGCCAGCTTGTGAGCAGCTGCCAGCTGATGACAGAAGCTTATGTGCTCAGCAGGGCGTGCAAAGCTTTTCGCAACCACATAGCGTACAAGGAGTGTGTCAAGGATCCCTCGCTTCTCTCGCCCTTTGCGGGATGCGCAAGGAGAAGGCTGTATTCACAAGGAGTATTTACAAGAACCCGGGCTGCCACAGACCATCTCTGTGCAAGCCAGGCACAGAACCCATCCCCCGCAAGGAGGGAAGCAGGGAGAACCAGCTCCCAGTGGTTTCCCCCCCCCCAAAAAAAACAGCTCTAGCTGGTGAGCTGTGCACAGCTGGTGGCAGGACTCAGCAAGAGAAGCTTTTCTTCAGCCCAGCTCATATAGAGACATGCAGGCTTTGGGGCTGCTTGCCTGCCCCTGCTGTACTCATTCAGACACTTCCGCATGTGCGCACAGTCCACTCTCAGCTCGCCGGTGTGTCTCCCAGAAGGCCCGGTCCAATTGCTCCAGCTGTGGACTCAGGGGAAGTTGCATAGCCAAGTGCATGCGGAGAGCTTCCAGCCACTGCTCCAACCGACTGAAGGAAGGCCTGGAGAGAAAAAGCAGAAGAACGTAAGTGGAGTTTTGCTTGATCAGGATAAAAGCCCCAAACAGCCCAGAGCATCCCCCCATCCCCCAACCTTTTGGGCACCAGGGACCAGTTCCATGGAGGCTGTTTTTTCCACGGACTGGGGCAGACATGATTTTACGTGTTGCCGGGATCCTGCACGTGTACGGATGGGGCTTTTCTCACTTGTGCAGCCTGGTTCTTGGTGTTTAGATACCGTAGAACCGAGCTACTTACAGGACTACCTGCTCCCCTCAACCTCTGCCTGCCCCATGCATTCCCATATGGACATGCCCCATGCTCCAGATCTCTGCTGACTGATGTCTAATGCAGTGTTTCTCAACCTTGGCAACTTGAAGATGACTGGACTTCAACTCCCAGAATTCCCCAGCCCACCCTTGCCCGGTTGGGGATTTTTGGGGGTGAAGGGCCGAGGCACTCAACATGCCCAGGATGAGAAAAAACCGC